TGTCCACAGAGCAGTACGGAAGAGGTCCGGCTTCTTCCGAAGCTCCGTCCACGTTCTGCTCATCCTAGTCAGCTTCGTCTGCTGCTGAGGCAAAAGCTCGGTTGCCACAGAAGCCGCCCGTGAGGTCTCGATTTGCTGCCAGGTTGTCCAGGTACGTTTGAAGTGGGAGTCGCTCGTAGAAAATGACATCACGTGCTGCTACTGTTTCCTTCGAGTGGATGTCGAAAATCTTCCATGCGTTGTAATGCTTTTCGATGCCCAGGTGTAGCCCCCACTGTGCGCGTTGGGAAAATCTTCCGGCTCTCGCAGTGTGCGGTCGGTATTGTACCATGCACCCAAAAACTCGTAACATTTTTGTGTTGCCCAATTTTCCTGTCCACAGCAGGTGCGGTGATGCGTTGTTCGGGAGCGATGATGACGAGAGCAGGTTGTGCAGCATGACAGCGTGGTCCGTCGCATCAGGCCACTGGTGGTTGGGCAGTCGCATGCCACGCAATAGTTTGCGCATGGTGTTCTTGAGAGTTCTGTTCATCCGTTCTGCCACGCCTTGCTGTTGATGCGCGTAGGGAAGCGAGATGAGTCGCTTGATGCCTCGTTCTGCGAGGTACTGCTTGAACCTTTGTGACTGATATTCCCCTCCCCCGTCTGACTGGAAGCTTTTCAGCTTTGCTCCTGATTCTCGTTCTGCCACAGGTAGCCAGGCGACAAAGGCTTCGAAGGCCATGTCGCGACTTGCGAGGTTGAGGTGCCAGACGTATCGGGTGGCGGCGTCGATGAAAGTAATCACATAGTTGTATGCTTCTTGACCTTGTTCGCGAGTATACAGGATGTCGCTGTATACTTTCTCCAGTGGTGCGTAGGCTGGCGCGCTTGGATTGTGGTGAGAGACGAACGGTTGATGAGGTAAGTCGGCTTCGAGACAAGTAAAAGAGGTTCCTCGGACTCGTTGAAGTTCTCTGCCGTCGGGTAGAAGTAAAGAATCTTTGTCGAGTACTGCTGCCTTGATCGGGTTATTTAACGTTGTGTTGCTTGGATGACCCAGTCTTTCGTGCCACAGTGATTCGCTCGCACGATGTCCTGGTGAGCGCTTGTACAGGTCGGAGTTGGGAGTAAAATCCGGCGGTGAGGTTAGCGCTTCTGTGAACTTCGTGTAGAGTGGGAGTTAACTGTTGCGCAGGAGTCGGTGGAGTGTCGTCGATGAGAACTGGTGCCGTTGAAGAGCTCGCGATTGGTGCTGTAGGTGTTGCTGCTGCTGCCGATGTTGTCTTTGCTGCTGTCAATGTTGTTTCTTCTTGCCGGATTGTTGCTAATGCCCTTGTTCTTTCTGCTTCAGGTATGGTATGTGAATACCAAAATCCTCCAGGACTGAAGTCAGGATCGAGATCGGGTGGATGTGTCCAGGAAGCGAAGTTGACGATGGCGTCGCTGTCGGCGGTACCTTGGTCTGGAACGAAGTCAAGGACGAAGACGTTGTTCTTCAGGACTGCTTTGCCAATGTAGAGTCCGCCCTTTCCGTGAAATAACTTAAATTCCTGAGTGGTGCTGTCTGCTTCGAGATGAATTCCTGAGTAAGTTGTAGCCGAGTCCTTCTGCAATCAAAACTTTTGACATTTGTAAAATGACGTTAGTTTCTCGAGACTGAAGTTGCACTATCCCTTGTCGTCGTGTGTGCAGGTTCTGGTTGTTGGCGACGGTGATTACAACTTCGCGCTGAAGTTGATGTTCCTGTTGAACGAAGCGACCCGAGGAGCACATGTGCTGTCCACAGCAACTGTCCAAGAACCAAGTGTCTTTTCCAGACGGCTCGCTCTGGGCGATGGCTACATATATCGGGTTGGGCTCCAGTGATTCACGGCGAGGAGTGCTCTCGTTGAGCTGTTCTTCTGGTGAGTAGTGGGGTGGTGATCCGATGATGCAGGAGTCTGTTGTTCTTGTCATGCAGCTCACGATGTTTTTTGTTCCTTGTACAGGTTTTGTCGTTGAAGACGTTGAAGACGTTGAAGACTGCACATGATTGGTGGGATGTGCCTGCGTAGAAGCTACTTGACTGCTTGAGGGCCGAAGTTGACTTTGCGGCGATGTCGACTGCTGCCAATTCGGGCAGTGTGTGCGAGGATGTCCAGACGTCTTGCAGGGGTGACAGAATGGTGGGACGTATTGTTGAACGTGACGGTTGTTTTGTCGATTGCTGCTGTTGTTGTAGCGTCGTTGAGTGTGAAACGCGAATTCTGGTATTGATGCTTTCTTCTTGTGTCGTTCTTCGTGCAGGTCCATGTCCTGCTGTTCATCATGAATTTCGGCGCAGAGTGTTGCTTCGGAGATTTTTCCATGAGCTCGAAGGAGTGCTCGAGTCGAGCGCCAATGAGGATCGAGGCTAGCGATGATGATTGTTACGAAGGCTTCTTCGGATATTGATCCTCCGCATCGAAGGAGTTTGTCGCGCAGTCCACGACAACGGCTGATATATGCCATTCCCTTTTCGCCGGGTTTCATTTCCACTGTTGTTAGCTGTGCCATGAGACGACCCTGGTTAATGCTGTCTGTTGCTTGATATAGGCTCTTCAGGTGGTCGTACGCCAGCTCGGCGGAGTTGCCGTATCCTCGATAAGACCGAATGTTCTGCTGCTCGTTTGGCGTTAAATTTCGAAGAAATATCGTGTACGCCATCAGCGACTGATATGTATACTGCTGCTTGTCGTATTGTGTCCCATGCGTTGGGTATGGCAGGGACCCGTCGAAGAATCCGAGTATTTGTGCGCCCTCCATCATCAGCTCAAATTCGAATGACCAGGTATAGAAGTCCTTTCCGTCGAAGGGTGTTGATGTCTGCAGTTTTAACACATGTGCGAACTGTGATTGAACTTGAAGGGCGTCCAACGTCTTCTCTTGTCCAGGTGAAGACTGTGGGTATGGCGCGAAGCTGATGGAGCCACGTTGAGGTTCGTACGGAGCAAAGGTGGGTTGCTGTTGATTTCCGCGCGCATACGATGAACTGTCAAGGCTCATTGGAACAGCCCTATCGTTGTTGTCGCTGTTGTTTGATTGTGCAGGAACTGCTTGCTGGTGTTGCTCGTAGAAGGGCATGAAGGAGAAGAACTTCTCCATCATACTTGGGTCGAAGCCTGGTGCTTGATTCCCGGGAGTTTCGGTTGACTCCGTAGCTGGTCTTGTTGCTATGCCTTCTTCTGTCTGTAGACCAGAGGCTGGAGGTGGAGTAGGAGTAGTGCCGGGAGATCCGTTAGAGGAGCTCCTCTCCTTCTGTGTTGTCATGCCTTGCGTTGTTGTAGGTATTTGAGAAATCGATCTTGCCATGTTTGCTCTCATACCATGTTGGGCTAAGAAATAGCCCTTAGGATCTTTCAAGGCTAAGATTTTGTTGAAGTAGTGATGTTGCAGTTGCGGAAGCGTAATACTAGTATTAACTTGAACCACCTTGCACTGGTATGTGAGAACAAGATTAACTGTTTCTGCTGTTGCGGTTCGATACAGTGATGACTCGGGTAACTGCAAGGCTTTTATATGATTACAAAGGAATATGGAAAGCTCGATTTTAACTGTTTCTGCTGTTGCGGTTCGATACAGTGACGACTCGGGTAACTGCTCAGTATCGAGTCAGTTATGTGTCCTTGCTGTCGCACTGCATTTTTCGTCAGGTCAAAGGTCAGTGACCTTTGACCTTCGCGTAACCTCCAGCGTTTGTCTTTAGTTGACTCGCGTGTTGTTTCGCTTGTAGTCTGCTTCGTTTCGTGTCGATGCTTCGATTACTTCAGAAGCGTTTAAGTTATTTGTTTCCAACACAAATGACCGTTTTTTTCTAGCAACTTAGGACCAGGGCTAATTTTTGGTTTTGAGCAACCCTTGTGATCAGTGTTGCACCTGTTCAAAAACCTGATTATCAGTGTGACACCTTCTTCAAACCCTGATCCATCAGTGTTTTTCTTGTTTTTGAAAATCCAACCCTGTGGCATCAGTGTACCAGTTTAGCAAACCCTTATGAATTGATATTATCGTTGCACACAATATTTTTTTTAGATCATACATGCCACATGGGTGTTGCTCGTCGTCAGTTACTTCAGCAGGCTCAAATTCCGGTTTCGACATTTGGCAATCGGGAATCCCGGGTTACGGGAAAGGGGGGGTGGGGGAAGTGGGGGGGAGGGGGAGGGGGGGGGGGTATGGTACTCGCTTCAGGGTAAAACTCGTTATGAAGAACGGTAACCCTGAGGCATCAGTGTGCCTGAAATGTGAACCCTGGCATATCAGGAAAATCATAGCTCCACAAAAAATTACCCTAGGCCATTAGTGTGACTACCAAAAACCACCATGATAATCAGGGTATCAGGGTGATTTACACTGATAAAATTAGCCTTGATTAGGACTCCAAGGTCACCTAAAATCTCAATCCGATACCAAATATCTTATTTCTGTACATATCTTCAAGAGTTTTGTTTTGTGTCAAATCTAATGCAGCGCAGAAATCGACGCCGAAATCCACGCCGAGCAGCAAGACATGGACCTGCAAGAAGAACGACACAGCTCGCGTACAATCACTTGAAGAGGATTGGAACTCTTGCTCGTGATACCATGTTGGGCTGAGTGCCCCTTAGGATCTTTGGTAGGGTTAAACTCTGGGTAGAGTGATGTAGTAGCGGAAGCGTTTAAATGAAGTCCTTGAACCACCTTGCGCTGGTATGTGAGGGCAAAGTAAGTTGATTAAAACAAGCAAGTACAAAGGTTTATATAAGAGTACAAAGAATACGAAGAGATATAATTAAACTGTTTTACTGTTGCGGTTCGATACAGTGCAACTCGGGCAACTGCTCAATGTCGAGTCAGTTGTGTGTCCTTGCTGTCGCGCTGCATTTGTCAAGTCAAAGGTCGCTGACCTTTGACTTTCGCGTAACCTCCAGCGGTTACTTCAACCTCCGAGGGTTGACTCGCTGGTGCCTCGATATGCTCTGCTTCGCTTGTGCCTTGGTGTTTCGACACGACAGAGGCGCTTAAGATTGTTTGTTCCCAACACTCCCCTTCGCTTCTGGAGTGTCGCTGCTGGTGACGTGGCTTTGTCCAGTCAGCAGCATGCAGTACTCGAACTTCTGTTTTCCGAGCTTCTTGGTCAAGTAGTCAGCTGCCATCTCGGACGTGGGACAGTAGGATAGTTCAAGTCTCCCCTTCTCAATCTCGTCTTTCACGAAGAAATATCGCAGAGCGATATGCTTCGTTCTGTTCGCGAATCCATTTTTGTTGGCGATGCGAATTGCAGATTGGTTGTCGCAGAACAGAGTGAAGTTGGGTAACTCGGCTAACTTTGCTTCTTCCAGCAGCTCGCGAAGATAGAGTCCTTCCTTGGTGGCTGAGCAGAGTGCAATATATTCTGCTTCAGCTGACGAGAGAGCAATTAATTCCTGCTTGCTCGATTGCCAGGAGATCGGTCCGATAGGTTCGAGGCGGTAGATGTAGCCGGTGCGGGAGCGCCTGTTGTCGGAGTCGCCAGCGTGATCAGCGTCGACGTAGCCGATTAATTTAGTCGGTGTAGTTGTGTTCTTGTAGTAAGTTAGGCCGATCGTTGAGGTACTGACGAAGTAGTGGAGAGCGCGGTCGAGCTCCGCCAGGTGTTCTGCTTCAGGCTTCTTGAGGTAGGTGGCAAGCTGGCTTGCGGAGTATGAGAGGTCGGGGCGGCAGGTGACAGCTGCGAAGAGAAGGCATCCTAGCTTTCTCTGGTAGTCGCGTATCCCGGCGGATTTGAGTAGAGAGGATCCTTCCTTGTGGTTTCCTGTCGCGTAGCGGTAGGGCGTAGAGATGGTGGTAGGTGTGAGCGCGAAGCGTTTGGCGATGGTGTCGGCGTACTTAGCGGCGTTGAGGTAGATCGCGCCTTCTTCTTCCCGAATGTTCAAGCCGAGGTACTGTGTGACGGTAGAGGAGACCGTGAGTGTGAGGTCCCTCTGTAGCTCCCCTTCGAACCAGGTGGTGATGTCGTCAGTGGAGCCGATGTAGAGTAGGTCGTCTACGTAGACGATCAGCAGAATGTAGTCGGTGTCTTTAGTGAGTCGGTACATTCCTTGGTCGTGAGGTAGTTGGCGGAATCCGATGCGAATGAGGCGAGCGTGTAGGTACTGTTGCCATAGCCGCGGAGCTTGCTTGATCCCGTAAAGTGATTTCAGCAGTTGACAGACTTGGTTAGGTTCCCCGTTGGTACCGTGTGGGAGCTCGACGAAGATTTCCACGTCGACAGGTGCGTAGAGGAACGCGTTGGCGACTTCGATTTGCCGTAGCTTCCTTTTCTTCATGGCGGCGATCGCGAGGAGGATTCGAAGTGAGGTATGTCGGCTAACCGGGGCGAATGTCTCGGTGAAGTCCCGTCCGTGCTCCTGATCGAATCCACGCACAACCCAGCGTGCTTTGAACTTCTCAATTGTGCCGTCTGCTTTTGTTTTAACGCGGAAGACCCATTTCCCGGTGAGAATGGTCTTGTTCCTTGCCACGCTGATGGGGACAACTTTCCAGGTGTTCCGTTCCTCCAGCGCCTTTAACTCTCTGTCCATGGCTTCACGCCATTTTTCCCTGTGTTCCCCCCCCAGAGCCTGCTGAACCGTCGCAGGCTCCTTAGGAAGAGTGTTGCCGTGGACTGCGGTGACGAGTCCGAGAATCTGCACTCCAGTCTGTGAGTAGCGGGGAAGAGTTGCATCCTCGGGATAAGCTGCTTCATCTCCCGCTTCTGGATCAGGTATGAAATTCGGTCCTACTCGTTCTGCTTCGTTGGTGTTGACTGTCGCAGGTGTTACGTAACCGTTGTCGGCGAAGTAGTAGAAGGTTTCGGCGTTGACACTTTCGCGAGGGTTATCTTCGTCCATGGGGACGTCGACGGAGCAGAACGGAAGGGGTCCAGCTTCTTCTGATGCGTTGGCCACATTCTGCTCGTCCCAGTCAGCTTCGTCTGCTGCCGAGGTGAAGGCTCGGTCACCACGAAAACCACCTGTGGGATCTTGGTCCTCTTGCAGGTTGGCAAGGTATGTCTGGAGCGTGAGTCGTTCGTAGAAAATGACGTCGCGTGCTGCTACTGTTTCCTTGGAGTGGACGTCAAAGATTTTCCACGCGTTGTAGTTCTTTTCGATGCCGAGGTGTAGTCCCCACTGTGCGCGTTGTGAAAATCGGCCCGCTCGTGCTGCTGGGGGTCGGTACTGTACCATGCATCCGAACACTCGTAACATTTTTGTGCTGCCCTGTTTTCCTGTCCACAGCAGATGCGGTGATGCGTTGTTCGGTAGTGATGAAGATGAGAGCAAGTTGTGCAGCATGACAGCGTGGTCCATCGCGTCAGGCCACTGGTGGTTGGGTAGCCGCATGCCACGCAACAGTTTGCGCATGCTGTTCTGCAGAGTCCTGTTCATTCTTTCTGCTACACCTTGCTGCTGATGGGCGTAGGGAAGAGAGAGGAGCTGCTTGATTCCCCTTTCCGCCAGGTACTGCTTGAATCGCTGAGAGGTGTATTCTCCTCCTCCGTCAGACTGGAAGCTTTTCAGCTTTACGCCCGACTCTCTTTCTGCTACTGGTAGCCAAGCAGCGAATGCTTCGAGGACCATGTCGCGGCTGGGTAGGTTTAGATGCCAGACGTAACGGGTGGCGGCGTCGATGAAGGTGATTGTGTAGTTGTATATTACTTGTCCTGGTTCCCGATTGTACAGGATGTCGCTATACACCTTTTTGAGTGGTGCGTACGCGGGTGTGCTCGGGTTGTGATGAGGAGTGAACGGCCGATGTGGTAAGTCGGCTTCGGGGCAGGTAAGACATGTTCCTCGTGCCCGTTGAAGTTCTCTGCCGTCGAGTAGTAGTAACGAGTCCTTGTCAAGGACTCCTGCTCTTATTGTGTTGTTTAACACAGTGTTGCTTGGGTGTCCCATGCGTGCGTGCCAGATGTCTTCGGAGGCGCGGTGTCCGGGTGAGCGTCGATACGCGTCGGAGTTGGAGTAGAAGCTGGCGGTGAAGTTTGCGCTTCTATGGACTTCCCGTTGAGCCGGATTCAGCTGCTGTGCGGGTGTTGGTGGTGCTTCATCAACGAGGAGTGGTGTCGTTGTTGCTGCTACTGTTGTTGTTCCTGCTACTGCCGATGATGTCTCTGCTGCTGCCGATGATGTCTCTGCTGCTGCCGATGTTGTCTCTGCTGCTGCCGATGTTGTCTCTGCTGCTGCCGATGTTGTCTCTGCTGCTGCCGATGTTGTCTCTGCTGCTGCCGATGTTGTCTCTGTTGCTGCCGATGTTGTCTCTGCTGCTGCCGAATGTTGTATTGTTACTAACGCACGTGTTCGTTCTGCTTCAGGAATGGTATGTGAATACCAAAAGCCTTCCGGACTGAAGTCGGGGTCGAGATCCGGCGGGTGCGTCCAAGATGTGAAGGTGACGATCCCGTCACTGTCTGCGGTGCCCAGGTCTGGGACGAAATCGAGAACGAAGACATTGTTCTTCAGGACCGCCTTTCCGATGTAGAGGCCGCCCTTCCCGTGGTACAGCTTGAACTCCTGGGTGGTACTGTCGGCTTCCAGATGTATGCCTTTCGCCATCAACTGACTGACGCTCAGTAAGTTGTAGCCAAGTCCTTCTGCTATTAGGACTTTGGACATTTGCAGTATGACATTCGTCTCTCGTGACTGAAGTTGCACTACTCCTTGTCGTCGTGTGCGCAGGTTCTGATTATTGGCGACAGTGATGACGACTTCTCGTTGAAGTTGGTGCTCGCGTTGAACGAAACGTCCTGAAGAGCACACATGTTGTCCGCAGCAACTGTCCAAGAACCATGTATCCTTCCCGGACGGCTCGCTTTGAGCGATGGCGGCGTACGTCGGGTTCGGTTGAAGTGACTCGCGGCGAGGCGTGCTGTTGTCGAGTTGTTCTTCTGGTGAGTAATATGGTGGTGACTCAGTTACGCAGGAGTCACTCAGCCTTGCCATGCAGCTGACGATGTTTCTTGTTCCTTTCGCAGGTTGTCCCGTCGATGTTGTTGAGACTTGTACTGAAGTTGTCGGATTTGCTTGCGTTGAGGCGACTTGACTGCTTGAAGGGCAAAGTTGGCGTTGCGGCGACGTTGACTGTTGTCGATTCGGGCAGTGCGTACGAGGATGCCCTGAAGTCTTGCAGAGGTGGCAGAACGGAGGTACGATTTTCGGTCGATTGTTGTTGTTGTTGTGGCGCCGTTGAGTGTGAAACGCGAATTCGGGCACTGATACCTTTCTCTTGTGTCGTTCTTCTTGCAGGTCCATGTCTTGCTGCTCGGCGTGGATTTCGGCGTCGATTTCTGCGCTGCATTAGATTTGACACAAAACAAAACGCTTGAAGATATGTACAGAAATAAGATATTTGGTACCGGATTAAGATTTTAGGTGACCTTGGAGTCCTAATCAAGGCTAATTTTATCAGTGTAAATCACCCTGATACCCTGATTATCATGGTGGTTTTTGGTAGTCACACTAATGGCCTAGGGTAATTTTTTGTGGAGCTATGATTTTCCTGATATGCCAGGGTTCACATTTCAGGCACACTGATGCCTCAGGGTTACCGTTCTTCATAACGAGTTTTACCCTGAAGCGAGTACCATACCCCCCCCCCTCCCCCTCCCCCCCACTTCCCCCACCCCCCCCTTTCCCGTAACCCGGGATTCCCGATTGCCAAATGTCGAAACCGGAATTTGAGCCTGCTGAAGTAACTGACGACGAGCAACACCCATGTGGCATGTATGATCTAAAAAAAATATTGTGTGCAACGATAATATCAATTCATAAGGGTTTGCTAAACTGGTACACTGATGCCACAGGGTTGGATTTTCAAAAACAAGAAAAACACTGATGGATCAGGGTTTGAAGAAGGTGTCACACTGATAATCAGGTTTTTGAACAGGTGCAACACTGATCACAAGGGTTGCTCAAAACCAAAAATTAGCCCTGGTCCTAAGTTGCTAGACAAAAACGGTCATTTGTGTTGGAAACAAATAACTTAAACGCTTCTGAAGTAATCGAAGCATCGACACGAAACGAAGCAGACTACAAGCGAAACAACACGCGAGTCAACTAAAGACAAACGCTGGAGGTTACGCGAAGGTCAAAGGTCACTGACCTTTGACCTGACGAAAAATGCAGTGCGACAGCAAGGACACATAACTGACTCGATACTGAGCAGTTACCCGAGTCGTCACTGTATCGAACCGCAACAGCAGAAACAGTTAAAATCGAGCTTTCCATATTCCTTTGTAAGCATATAAAAGCCTTGCAGTTACCCGAGTCGTCACTGTATCGAACCGCAACAGCAGAAACAGTTAATCTTGTTCTCACATACCAGTGCAAGGTGGTTCAAGTTAATACTACTATTACGCTTCCGCAACTGCAACATCACTACTTCAACAAAATCTTAGCCTTGAAAGATCCTAAGGGCTATTTCTTAGCCCAACATGGTATGAGAGCAAACATGGCAAGATCGATTTCTCAAATACCTACAACAACGCAAGGCATGACAACACAGAAGGAGAGGAGCTCCTCTAACGGATCTCCCGGCACTACTCCTACTCCACCTCCAGCCTCTGGTCTACAGACAGAAGAAGGCATAGCAACAAGACCAGCTGCGGAGTCAACCGAAACTCCCGGGAATCAAGCACCAGGCTTCGACCCAAGTATGATGGAGAAGTTCTTCTCCTTCATGCCCTTCTACGAGCAACACCAGCAAGCAGTTCCTGCACAATCAAACAACAGCGACAACAACGACAGGGCTGTTCCAATGAGCCTTGACAGTTCATCGTATGCGCGCGGAAATCAACAGCAACCCACCTTTGCTCCGTACGAACCTCAACGTGGCTCCATCAGCTTCGCGCCATACCCACAGTCTTCACCTGGACAAGAGAAGACGTTGGACGCCCTTCAAGTTCAATCACAGTTCGCACATGTGTTAAAACTGCAGACATCAACACCCTTCGACGGAAAGGACTTCTATACCTGGTCATTCGAATTTGAGCTGATGATGGAGGGCGCACAAATACTCGGATTCTTCGACGGGTCCCTGCCATACCCAACGCATGGGACACAATACGACAAGCAGCAATATACATATCAGTCGCTGATGGCGTACACGATATTTCTTTGAAATTTAACGCCAAACGAGCAGCAGAACATTCGGTCTTATCGAGGATACGGCAACTCCGCCGAGCTGGCGTACGGCCACCTGAAGAGCCTATATCAAGCAACAGACAGCATTAACCAGGGTCGTCTCATGGCACAGCTAACAACAGTGGAAATGAAACCCGGCGAAAAGGGAATGGCATATATCAGCCGTTGTCGTGGACTGCGCGACAAACTCCTTCGATGCGGAGGATCAATATCCGAAGAAGCCTTCGTAACAATCATCATCGCTAGCCTCGATCCTCATTGGCGCTCGACTCGAGCACTCCTTCGAGCTCATGGAAAAATCTCCGAAGCAACACCCTGCGCCGAAATTCATGATGAACAGCAAGACATGGACCTGCACGAAGAACGACACAAGAAGAAAGCGTCAATACCAGAATTCGCGTTTCACACTCAACGACGCTACAACAACAGCAACAATCGACAAAACAACCGTCACGTTCAACAATACGTCCCACCATTCTGTCACCCCTGCAAGACGTCTGGACATCCTCGCACACACTGCCCGAATTGGCAGCAGTCGACATCGCCGCAAAGTCAACTTCGGCCCTCAAGCAGTCAAGTAGCTTCTACGCAGGCACATCCCACCAATCATGTGCAGTCTTCAACGTCTTCAACGTCTTCAACGACAAAACCTGTACAAGGAACAAAAAACATCGTGAGCTGCATGACAAGAACAACAGACTCCTGCATCATCGGATCACCACCCCACTACTCACCAGAAGAACAGCTCAACGAGAGCACTCCTCGCCGTGAATCACTGGAGCCCAACCCGATATATGTAGCCATCGCCCAGAGCGAGCCGTCTGGAAAAGACACTTGGTTCTTGGACAGTTGCTGTGGACAGCACATGTGCTCCTCGGGTCGCTTCGTTCAACAGGAACATCAACTTCAGCGCGAAGTTGTAATCACCGTCGCCAACAACCAGAACCTGCACACACGACGACAAGGGATAGTGCAACTTCAGTCTCGAGAAACTAACGTCATTTTACAAATGTCAAAAGTTTTGATTGCAGAAGGACTCAGCTACAACTTACTCAGGAATTCATCTCGAAGCAGACAGCACCACTCAGGAATTTAAGTTATTTCACGGAAAGGGCGGACTCTACATTGGCAAAGCAGTCCTGAAGAACAACGTCTTCGTCCTTGACTTCGTTCCAGACCAAGGTACCGCCGACAGCGACGCCATCGTCAACTTCGCTTCCTGGACACATCCACCCGATCTCGATCCTGACTTCAGTCCTGGAGGATTTTGGTATTCACATACCATACCTGAAGCAGAAAGAACAAGGGCATTAGCAACAATCCGGCAAGAAGAAACAACATTGATAGCAGCAAAGACAACATCGGCAGCAGCAGCAACACCTACAGAACCAATCGCGAGCTCTTCAACGGCACCAGTTCTCATCGACGACACTCCACCGACTCCTGCGCAACAGTTAACTCCCACTCCACGCGGAGTTCACAGAAGCGCTAACCTCACCGCCGGATTTTACTCCCAACTCCGACCTGTACAAGCGCTCACCAGGACATCGTGCGAGCGAATCACTGTGGCACGAAAGACTGGGTCATCCAAGCAACACAACGTTAAATAACCCGATCAAGGCAGCAGTACTCGACAAAGATTCTTTACTTCTACCCGACGGCAGAGAACTTCAACGAGTCCGAGGAACCTGTTTTACTTGTCTCGAAGCCGACTTACCTCATCAACCGTTCGTCTCTCACCACAATCCAAGCGCGCCAGCCTACGCACCACTGGAGAAAGTATACAGCGACATCCTGTATACTCGCGAACAAGGTCAAGAAGCATACAACTATGTGATTACTTTCATCGACGCCGCCACCCGATACGTCTGGCACCTCAACCTCGCAAGTCGCGACATGGCCTTCGAAGCCTTTGTCGCCTGGCTACCTGTGGCAGAACGAGAATCAGGAGCAAAGCTGAAAAGCTTCCAGTCAGACGGGGGAGGGGAATATCAGTCACAAAGGTTCAAGCAGTACCTCGCAGAACGAGGCATCAAGCGACTCATCTCGCTTCCCTACGCGCATCAACAGCAAGGCGTGGCAGAACGGATGAACAGAACTCTCAAGAACACCATGCGCAAACTATTGCGTGGCATGCGACTGCCCAACCACCAGTGGCCTGATGCGGCGGACCACGCTGTCATGCTGCACAACCTGCTCTCGTCATCATCGCTCCCGAACAACGCATCACCGCACCTGCTGTGGACAGGAAAATTGGGCAACACAAAAATGTTACGAGTTTTTGGGTGCATGGTACAATACCGACCGCACACTGCGAGAGCCGGAAGATTTTCCCAACGCGCACAGTGGGGGCTACACCTGGGCATCGAAAAGCATTACAACGCATGGAAGATTTTCGACATCCACTCGAAGGAAACAGTAGCAGCACGTGATGTCATTTTCTACGAGCGACTCCCACTTCAAACGTACCTGGA